CGGAAAATGACAGAAAATCTCAGTCAAAACGTCCTCAAGACTGTTGTAGGCGCTGGTGCAGCCGTTGGCGATCCTTCACATCCGAGGCAGACATCGGCATTCAGTTTCGTTGGTGACACAGTGACTGACGCTGTGCAGAGAACGAGCGCGGTGGCGGCCGGAATTAGAACTTATGCAGATCTGTTGCTGAAAGGGATTACGCCCGGCACTGGCGGCCACACAGTTTCACCAGGCGGCGAGAAGACTTTCGGTTTTAAAAACTCCGGTCTGAGTTTCGACGTCGTCTCAGGACTCAGCAAGGTGGCCGAACTAATTTCAAAGGGAGCCATTCAACTGCCGAGTCATCCCTTGCCGAATTTACAAAAACTTGGCCAGGAATCAATGGAGGAACCCATGTTTAAGGAAACCGACTTCACAAATCAGAAATATCTTCGTCAAGAAGAAGAGAGTGACCAAGCCCAGTCCTTGGAAGGTCTCACAGCTGAAGAGAGGGAATTTTTGATGAAAGCCGCTCAGTCGGTAGAGGAGGTGGATCCAGTCGTGGAAGCTCCTCCACCCGTGGATACGGATCTGGGAATCCCTCCACCTAAAATAAATGTTAGTGTCAAACCACCACGAAAAGATGCAAATGCCATGCCACGAACGCCTGGTCATATGAGTGGGCATGAGGGAGTTTTATCGCCACCTCAAGAATCCAGTGCGACTATGGGCTTCCCTCCGAAAGTGGATGCATTCAAAAAGACCCCTCCAAAAGTGAGGATGACTAGGGAGGTTACCCAGAAGGCAAAGGAGAAAGCTTACCGACCTTCACTTCCAACAGATTATAAAGTGAAAGCCGAAGATCTCGCGGAAAGCTTGTCGAAGAGCAAGGAAAGGAAGGTGCCGTCTTCAAGGCTTGGCCGGTTGGTAATTTAAGTCTTTTATTTTCTTTTTAGCTTTCACTTTTCTCATCCAGTTTTCTCAAGGCAGTCTATTTTGTCCTGTATATTTTCTCAAAACAGTGTCCGGCATTTCGTTTTCCAGTTTTTCATCACCTTTTCGGGGCCTCCTCGTCATGAGGAACCCATATCTGGGCTTTTCCGCACTGAAAATGGTGGAAATGAGCTTTTCTTGAAGCTTTCCAATACCGCATAATACGTACAAGTGGGCGGAGTCCGAAACGAGGGAGGCGAGGCGAAACTTTCGGCGTATTTTCACTGAAAACTACATGATAAGCTTTAAAAAAGGCTCATTCTATT